AGGGAATTGTAAGGCGATCTGTGAACTACAAGCCACCAACGGTGAGCGACAGCCGGGTTCGATAGTCTCTTAATTTACCCCATGAAGCAGTACATTTTACTTAATGCTCAAAACTTTCAATAGAATTCGAATCTATTCTGTTTTTCTGAGTTGTAAGAGGCGAGTGAGTATCAATTCAGGACCAGGAATAACATTTTTCATCGTTTATTAATGTATTTAATTTTCTATTGGTTTCAAAATCGTTGCGATATTTAAATGTGTTTTTGACACATACAATGACGTCCTAAAGCAAACGCTGTAAAAAGTAGTTTTTATTCCGTTGTGGTATTGTTGGCAGTCAACCTGGAGAAATGAATATGAGTTGTGCTTGGTTGTTTTGAATGGGATTCGTTCCGCAAATGCTTGGGATAGTTGCTTTACTAGCCGCAAATCTACCTCTGTTCCAATTCCACAGCGTTGTTGCTCAGACTGTGTACTGAAACTGTTATACAATCTCAGTTCCATTATCGGTGTGATATGCTGGAAGGTTGTTCACGGCTACTCGAAGTTTGGGACGTAGTTCTGGGCACCTCGCTCTGAACTCTCTCTTTTCCCTTGTTTTTCTTTTTTTAAAATTCTTTTAGGTGCCACACTTGCAAATGTTTGTTTAGATGGCGTATTTTGGGTTGAGCAAAGTGCAACCACTGGAAAGAGGGAGCTCTACTTCCATTCCTGTAAGCCTTCATCGACAAGCGTCAGATGGGCTCCTCAACAGTCTGTGCAAAACTGCGGTAATGCTGATGTTTTCGTTTTTTGAACTCTCTAATGATAAAAATTCCTTTGCAGTTCATGAATACGGTGGTGGGTCATTTCTTCCGCTCAGTGACGGCTCAGTCATCTACAGCACAATAGATGGTGTGTTTCACCAGAAAGCACCGGAGGCACCACCTGTTCAGTTAGCTGACTCGAATGAGAAGAAGCTACGGTAGGTCAGAGGTACACGAAATGATGCAGAATTCATCTAATTATTGTGCAAGACTCGGTTTTCTTGCGTGCGTAGGAGTAAAGCACTTTATTTTTATTACTTCGATGCAGGAAACGAAAAGTTAGGGGCCACGCATGATATAATTCATCATTGACACTTATTTGCTGCTGTTTCAAATTATACACGTTTTCTGGAAAGGGAATTAATGACACGTCAACCTTTTGTTTTTGTTGATAATGAGCTCGCATTACCACCAAATTTAATCAGTCATAACCTTTGCTGTAAATGTTCAGGTATGCTGACTTTTCCGTATCTGGAACTCACATATTCTGTGTGAACGAATCTCATCTACAGCCTGGGGTTGATCCAGAGAATCGAATAATCTCAATCGATATGGTGACAAAAGAGCAAAAAGTTGTGGTACGTTGCATATCGTATAGGTGCGCCGGTCGTTTCAGAGGGAACCCTCATTAATGTCGTGACATCAGAAGCCGTCCTTATGGTGGGAAATGATCTTTCAGATTTCGGAAAATTCAGAAAAAGGAGTAACTATTGATAACTATGGGATATAGGATCAGTACTAAAAAAAAATTTTTACTTGAGATATTACATCTTGTGCGAATATATCACTTGTTCCTCTCCTGAGCTTTACCTCTGCTGCTGCAGTTTCAAGCTGACTTTCAAGCTTGTCTCGTTGAGTTGGTTTAAAATCTATAAACAGGAAGTTATGTCCATACGGAGGCGGGTGTCCGGTTCGAGCCAAGTGCTTCTACATTAGATTTTCGCACCCTTCGCTGCAGAATCGTTACGGTACTCTTCTATAAAGGCAGCTGATTGCTCTATCCGCTTCACTTATACTCTTTGAACGCGCCGCCACATTGCTTTTCAAACCCCATTGAAAACGACTAGATTCCATAGACCTGACTTGTTTTTGTGTTTACTGTTCTACAGGGCTTTATTTTATAGGCAAGCTATTTTATAGGCAAGCGGAGCAGATTTCTATGCCTCGCCTCGCGTATCAGCGGACGGTAAGAGATTAGTATGGATGCAATGGAATCATGTGAACATGGTGAGATATCACTAGTAAAGTGTAATTGCTCTCAAGAAAACAAAGTTTGTCTAACGGGGAGATGCTTTTTTTGTCAGCCATGGGACGAAACATCAATTCACCTTGCTGTATTACACGACGATGGTACCATTTCCAATGAAGTCGTTGTCAAGGATGGCACAGGAAAGAAGGCAATTATTAATTGCTATAAACTCATTGTTATCAACCAATAGGAACAAAAATAAGAGATTTCAGATCAACTACTATTGTCCTAGTTGGGAAGAGCAAGATTTACTCATGATAAATGACTCCACCAATTTTTGGAATCTTTACGAAGTTGACTTAGGAGAAGAGTGTGAGATAATTATTTATTCATTTTGTTTTGTGAGAAATGTTACTGAAGCTCTCATAGAATACTCGGGTTATTAGTTGATTTGGTTGACTTTAAGAGTTGATGGAAATGCCGTGGTGGTCAGATGAGTAAAATAATATGTTCCGTATAGTTAAGGAGAAAAGTGTGTTCCCTGTCGATCATGAAATAGGATATCCGCTTTGGCAACTTGCCGATCGACCGTATGCCTCTAATGGATCCTGTATTGTGAGTTTAATCTATAGGCTTAAGTTATTCCATTCCGTTTCATTCCGTATTCCATTCCATTTATTCCGTTTCATCAGTGCTCTGTTCCCTCAAAATATATTAGGTTGTCCGAAAAGTTCCCGCCGTTTTGAATACCTTTGGTTTATCAAGTTTTTTGAAAAAGATCGTGGACATAACCACATGGAGTCATATATTTTCTGAAAGTAAGTTTTATTCTATATTCCTATTTAGGTCGTGTTGATTTTTTTAGGGTTTCTTTATATAGGGCTCGAGTGAAAATGGAAGACAATCGCAAAGGAAAGAACGCAGCTCAAACTGCGAGAGAGATCTGTGGTGTTTACGTGATCTGTGGTGTGGAGAAAGGCTTAATGCTCCGAAATCAACCGTCCATGACCATTTATTGGGACTTGGTTTCGTTAAGCGCCGCGATGTTTGGGTACCCCTCAAACTGAGCGAGCGCAATTTGATGGACCGCGTCTCCGTATGCGACTCGTTGCTTAAACGGAACGAAAATGAGCCGTTTCTGAAACGCATGGTAACTGGGGACGAAAAATGGATTCTGTACAACAACGTGGAGCGAAAACGATCGTGGAGCCTGTCCAGTGAGCCACCACAAACCACTCCAAAAGCGAAAATCCATGTGCGGAAGGTTATGCTGTGCTGCTNGTGGGATTGGAAGGGAATAATCTATTATGAGCTGTTGCCGCATAACCAAACGATAACTTTGGAAAGGTAGTGTAGTCAGCTCGACAAATGAAGGCAGTGATAGATCAGAAGCGCCCAGAACTGACCAATCGTAAGGGCGTTGTCTTTCACCACGATAACGCTAGACCACATGTATCTTTGGCCACCAAAAATTACTGGAGCTTGGGTGGGATGTCTTACCCCATTCCCCATATAGTCTGGATATCGTGCCATTAGACTACCACCTATTTAGGTCTCTGCAAAATTCCTTGAATGGAAAATCATTCGATTCCTTGGAGGACTGCAAAAAGCATCTAGAATAATTTTTCAATTCTAAGTCTACAACCTTCTATGAAGTGGGATAATGAAACTACCAAAAAGATGGCGGACCATTGTAGAGCAGAATGGAGAATATATTTTTTGATAAATGGGTTTGTTCTTTCAGAAATTTTCAAACAAAGTCGACCGGGAAATCGGCGGGAATTTTTCGGACAACCCAATATGTTGAACTCGACGAAGCATTACGAGATGTATTCCACCGCCCATCTTGTTCTCGATGGCTTTAATTTTGCTATGAATTCGGTTTTCAGATAATGAATGTCAACGGACGTCTAATGCTACGACGCGATATGGCCGTAAGAGAAGTGCCAACACCAGGATACACAGTGTTCTCACATTTGAGCATCACAGATGCTGATGTGGCCTATGCAATCGCATCTGGTCCGAGGAAGGCATCATGTGTGTTACAAATCGATTTATCCAAAGAAGTACGTTTGTGAAGAGATGAATCCCAAAACGAAATAGTCCCAGATTCGTTCAGGAATCGGAGCCAACCATTGATGTGATACGTACCGCACGTGATGACAAAGATATAGAAGCTCTCGATATTTCCGAACCAGAGCATCTAGAATTTCAATCCGACGGTGTTCCGGTGTCAGCTTGGTTCTACAAGCCCAAGGTAAATGGAACTGAGCGAAAGTTTGAAAAGTATCTTTTACCGCAAACGAACATGTGAACCACGATGCCTTCTAGTTCGGCCCTAAACCAACAGGACAAGTATGCTAGAAATCAAGCGATTGTATAACAAAAGAAACAACTGCTCCCATATCTCCTTCTATTCGTAAATGTGAGCCATAGCCAGATCTTTTCAGAATCGCCACTTTACCGGTCCTGCGGCTATGCTGCCACCAGTACTGGTTCTAGGCCACGGTGGTCCAACTGCTGTTGCTGTGAATTCACTGGACTTGAAGAAGCAGTTCTTCACCTCGCGAGGCTTCGCTGTGTTGGACGTTAACTATCGTGGATCGACTGGATTTGGCACTAATTTCAGAAATATGTAAGAACTTTAGATTCTGTTTTCTCGGTCATTTTATAGTTATACTACTGTTAGATTGCGCCCTGAGCTCTTCCAGTCGAATAGCTGATAATCCGGAAGTCACTAATAATGGAATGACCCGTCTTAAATCATGCTGTGCGCAGTTATGATTTCTTAAATGTGATAATTGCACTGAATGTGACTCAGTATATAATTATTGAGTAACGCTGTATCGCCTGCCAAGCCCTGCATCAACTTGTAGTCGGTCAGCGTACTTACTCACTACCTTCGATGAGGTTGAACAACCCAAATCACTCATCACAATATGCTTGACACTTTTACAGCAAATTTGATTGTAGGTTGAAGGGTCAATGGGGTGTGGTCGACCGTGATGACATGATCGCAGCAGCTCGTTCGGTAATAGCACGGCGACTTGTTGACGCTGATAAGGTGTGCATTCAAGGGAGTTCGGCAGGAGGGTGAGTAGCTCTCAACCGTTGAGAATATCCGAGAGCTTGCAACTCTGAATTTTTCTTTAAACCTCTGAGTCTTCATTCGGATGGACCAATGAATCCCCACCTTCTAGCCCCAATGATCCTAGTATCGAAACAAGAGCCAACATGGGCTTTTCAGTGGGATCAAAGACTCTGATCCCTGTTGCTTCTTCGGTCTAGCTTTATGTAACTTTTTTGACTCGAATTTGCTTTCTTTTCTTTTGTTAGCTCGCAAAAAGACAAATATGCTTTATCCCCAATCAAATGTCATTTCTACTACTTGAAAATCCTGACCAGACCGGACTCCTTCCTTCAGTTATCTCGTACTATCCGCACTGATTCACTCGGACGTCTTCAAAGCAGCGGTCTGCGCGTACGGAGTGGCAGACCTAATAGGACTAGCAAAGGTGTCTGAATTTTCCATCGATGCTACATTTTCTTCCTAAATTTTTAGTTTTACGAGTTTTTGAATGAGATACCAACACATAAGAAAAACAGATTTTAGGATACCCACAAATTCGAACGAGGATACAACCAAACACTCATTGGTAAGTATCCAGAAGAAGAACAAATCTACAAGGTTAGTTTTGCTTTGGTAGCCCCCAAATTCAGTTGTGACGCCATTCTCTCAATCATGTTCAGGACCGTAGCCCGATTAATCACATTGACCGACTACAAACTCCGATCGCATTTTTGCATGGTAAGGAGGATACAGTAGTGCCTGTCAGTCAGAGTATTGAAATGTATGACAAGTTGCGAAAGAAGGGTGTCACAACAGCATTAATGCTCTTCGAAGGTGAGAACATCTTCTATCTCTACTGTACTTGAACAGAATGTGATCCATTCGTTTAGATGAAGGGCATGGTTTCCGCGGTCCGGATGCGATAAGGCGAAGCACCGAAGCGACGTATGTCTTTCTATGTAAAGCCCTAGGAATCAAGCCGTCGATTTCATCTGATGTAAGTGGACTTCAGCTTTCGAAATAGCAAATGCTTGCTCTGACTGATGCTTCTATTTAAATTTGGTCGTGTTTTTACAACTAAGGCTTCTTCCGTGGGAGTTGGCGTATAGTAGTTTCTGTTCCACGTTAAGGACAGCCACAGGTAGCTTGACAAATTTTCGATAAACATCTAAGGGGAATCAAGGAGTAAGTGCATAGTTCACGGATACCGGATATTGGAAACATGAGCCAAAATCAAATTGCTCATGAAATGAAATATAACTAGACATACCAATGACTTGGAAGTCAAACCAAATCCGTTTAGTTTAATCAGACTGTTGTTGTAAAAATATTTGGCGATCGACTGGGGACGATATAATTTAAGATGTAGTCGCTAGCAGAGAATCCTACATGCTTGTCCTCTTAGTTACGAAGTATCTATCAAACTTCATTCGTGTATCTCATGTAATCGTTTCCTACTTTGGATTTTGAAGTTTTGAGTTCCGTCCGCGGCTCATGCCAGTAAAAAAGGTTGCATTCCTCCTGCCTAAGAAAATGTAAAATCAATGTTCAAGACCCATGTGTTGAATCTCCCTTATAGGTGTTAGAATAGCACTGTCGATGGTTTGAGGTAGAAGTTCGCGAAAATTGAGCAACCCCTATTTTCAATTATTCAACACTGTTTTTAATGTTTCATTTCGATGTTTTCGTAATGTAGCAAGATAGGTGTTTTCAGATTGAAATCGTGAATGCGAAGTGATGAAGAAGCTCAAACAATATATATTTAGAGTATATTGAGAGTTTGATGACTTTGTGTGCACATATTGATAAATTGTAAAATGACTGTAAGATTGTAAAATGTAACAAATAGTCCCAACCAAAACAAAAAACAATATGGGAAAGGAAACAACGAAAAATGAACAGTTGCTTAAAACTACTTACTTCTTATATAGTGAGTGAAAATAAAATGGAAATTAAGCTGGAATATGGAAGCTGTGCGGACATACCCATTAGAAATTGCTGTCTTTAGATAATTTTATGACGAAAATGCCAAAAATGCCAATGGCGACTGAGGTGGTGGGTGCAGTAGCTAGAAAACTATTGGACCACTCTGGGAAGGGTTACAAGATCGGAATCTACAGCAGGGAGCACGCTTATTTCCAAAAGCGCCGTAAGCAAAAAGAAGACGACCTGTTCGTTGTTCTTGTCTCGAGCCTCAGATGCCCTAGTCACGGTGAATCGCCTTTTCTGATTCATTGGAGCAAGATGAGCTGGCTGTTCTGCACAACTGTAACTTATCTCGCCACGAGCTTGAAACGGAACACTGCCACATCATCCAATGGTCTGACTTGGGCCACCTATTTCTCAATTTTTGGGCCACATGCTATTCTGATAGATCAATATATGAGCTTTACTGTTTTAGGCTATCAAGTTTCACGGAAATTCCCTGCCACGGATCTCTCAACCACGCCCTCAACTGTAAGGGATTGCGGACGCTACCTGGTTTTAGCGATTTTAGCGACAACTGTAACTACCCAACAGTGGTGTAATTAAATACCAACTTAAAAATTCAATTAGACAACCCATTCTACAGGAGACATAAATCGACAAACACATCACAGCATCGTCAAGAAAAGTCCTCACACATAACTGGAGCTTCAGCTTTTGACCTTGTCGAGCCGGCAAATAGGCCCGTTGTAGATCATTTGAAGGTCAACTTTGGGCCCAAACATATCCCTAATGTTGTCGATTCCGTATCGAATCATTGTGGGTCTAAAACAAACTACAAATATTATGTAGAATACTTTATGTAAACTCGAAATAAAACGGTAATGAAAAAACAAAAAAAAAATCATATTTGACTGTAGATCCTGTAAAAAAAACCCTGAAGCCGTCTATTAAATGGGATAGGTGAAGCCTACTGTCAGAAGGGACAGAAAAATTTGAAGAAACATATTTAATGGTTCAGGAACGGATGTCTGAGAATTCATGTCTATAACCCCGCCGTAAGGGTTCAATGCCTTTATGACCGTAGACCACAGTTGCCCATACACATGCGGAGCTTTTAGGAGCTTACATTTTTTTAGTTACAATGCGAACGCAATTTCGAAAAAAATATTATACTCACCGTTCCAGTGAAAGTCCGTATCCAGCAACATTTACGTCTGGGGGCAAACCCATTGGTAATAACATTTCCGGTCGGAACATTCCGGAGTTTCCAATCTGAATACCAGAGTAGATTCTTCTTTAGATAGGGAAGACTGATATACAGAACTCGCTCTCGAAGTAACGAAATTTCGCACTTCCATTAGGAGAAACTTCTTTTTTCATCTTTTCATCATCTTAGTAATAAGACAAATCTTAGGATGGGCATATCACCTCAACCCATTTTTTTAATCCACTATGATAGGCAAATATTTCCATAGATGGTTCCGTGTACGGATTGTAAGTCGGCTTGAAACGAAGATTTTCGATACCTGAATGCTTGGGCATTATGCGAAAATGATTTTTGGGGAACTCAAAAGCCAGCCAAAAAAGAAAAACGAAGATTTCCTTTTGATAACTGACCAAGTTTCTTGAAGAATTCAGTAAATACTCCTATTAGATGAGCTAGAGATAAGTTGCGTTCAGCAATGACACCTTCGACCTGACAAGGGAAGTGTTGGATCAGTTACCTTCAAGAACATTATATGCATCTAAAAAGCAAACGGGAAAATTTTCACCTGGTGGAATTCAGCAAGGTGAGTGGCATCCAGTGTCTCATTCCGGAATACTCGATCAATTGAGAACATTTTGGTTGGTTTGAATCCCTGAACTCATGTTTCAGAACCAATTGAAGAAAATTATAAAAAAAAGCCTGAAAACTCCTCGAGAAGCGGTTACATCTTCAAGTTACTATCGAAGAAAATTCTTCATCCAGTCCCTATACCCCTGGAAAAATGAAAATAAAAACAGATGAAAAGCAAACCTCTTGAGCAAGCTTGAAAAGCTGCCGCGCTGATACTGCGGTCGTGTGTGTGCGCAGTACATTTTTCTGAGCCTCCTCAATCTTCCAGTCATAGTTATATCTGAAGCAAAGTTTATATAAATCATGTTTGCTCAAATCAAAATGGAATATGAAATGTCGTAAACATGCCGCTCGCGGCACGCAAAGGTGTGTTTCCCACAAAACTGACAAGTGGACAGAATCGATACTTACAAGTACGGCTTTCTATGAACCTCGGCATAACTGTATTGTTGAGTTTATTGTTTTTCTGAACTCTACANAGGTTTGTAAACAAGCTTTATTAGGCTAACGTTTCGGCGATATCGCCTTCTCCGAGTCACAAATTGTAATGATCCTTTCAGGCTCTGAAGAAGGCGTTATCGCCGAAACTTCAGCCTAATAAAGCTTGTTCACAAACCTCGTGAAGAGTTCAGAAAAACAATAAACTCAGAATCGATACCATATTTATACCCGTTGATGCAGACCCGGCTAAGCTGGGATGACAATGTTGCAAAACAACCAAATAATTTTTGATCCACGGCGATGATCGTAATCAGAGCATTAGAGGGTGTATTGAGCGAACGAAATTAATATAGTATGTACTGTTTAGTCAAAAACCAAAACTGGGCTTTATCTCAAAATTTCAAAAGAATAGAAAACAAACCCAGCAGAACCGTATCCGCCTTTCGAATGGACGGTTTTCACGCGTTCAAGATAATCCATTGGAAATTTGGTACTTAGTGCAGGATCTGTAGATAACGATAATGTGGATAATGCAATATTCATTCCTTAGAGTGTTTCTCAGTAGTGTGACTTTCAATATGGTATGTTACGTTTGAGTGGGTGCGACTTCTGACAATGTTGATGACATCGTGAAATCTTTTCGAAATCCATTGTAAATACAGGAACGGCGTTAGGGGAATCGTGAACTGTGAATAGTACAACATGATCATTACCTGAGACGAAGAACGTGTCATGAGCATCCCTCGCGGGGTGTTGTTGAGGTTGGAAAAGTGCGTCAAAATTCCAGAATGAGCTCTCCACATAACGATTTGTTGGCATTTCTGAGAAGCCCATTGAGAAGAAAATCTGTCGGAATTCTGATCGTACCTGAACGAATTCCACACTGATACTTTTTTATAATAAAATCTTATGTAGCTGTTTCAAACTATGGAAACTATTTCCCCACCTTCATCAAAGGATGCAGATGTCCACACGGAGGCTGAACACCAAGTGCATCAAAGTTATACTGCTTGAAGGTTTTTGATTTCCAAGAGCCACTGTATAGTACTTGCATAACAGAGCTGAGTTCCTTCATTAAAACTCTGACACTCACGTGGCAATCATTTCCGGAGTCAAGTCTACTTCAGGTTTGCTAATGTTCGTCGTAAAATTCGGTCCCTTCCTTACAATAAGATACTTTGTAAGCCTGGAAGCGAAATCTTCAGCAGATGTATTTTCCAAATGTTCTCGTAACAAGTTCATGTCCCAGCACAACCACGATTGAACTACTTGCGTCTGACTGACGCAAAGCAGCCACCTTGTGATAAACTAAGTGATAAATAAGCAAAGAAGCTTAGTTCACGTCTTGAAAGAGAAAATGATTAAGCCAGAATCAACCCACACTTCTGACACGAGTTTTCTTTTCTTCAGCTCGGCAACAGCCTTAGCATCAACTTCTCTTCCTAAATTCAATGCGTCGAGCTGAGCGCGTACGGTATCCACTACGTCGTCACACTTTCGTAGCTAAAGACGGTAAAAATTTTAGAAGAAAAGGAAAACAAGAAAAAAGAGTAAAATCTTTTTTAAATTCAAAATATGTCCTTCGTATAATATGGAAACAACGAAAGCTAGAGAAAAAAATATGCTCGAAGTCTTACCAAGCGAACAGTTCCACCACTTTTGTCGATGGTTATCCAACCAGAAGCCAACGCTTTGTTCACACCCACTTTCCCAAATGGCAATTTCTGAAATCCATTGTTGTTTTTCACTCGACTGATGTATAAACATCTCAGAAGAAAAACACTGAGCCTATTGCGACTCAGACCTACCCTTGCTCATCACATTTTGTGTAATGACACTTGAATCTTACCATTATGTCAGCTTGTAAAGCTCCATCTGCACCTATTTGCTGGAACACCCGATATTCAGCTGACCCGTTGGTGGCCATTTCGCTGCCCTCACTGGTTAACTTCACGCTCTTCTCAGAAGCATCCACAGTAGAGATGACCTGGAAGGGCAAATTGGGCTGAAAGGGGCTAATTTTCACGGCTAGAGATTACTAAAATTTAAAGGAACAGGCCTGTAAAAAATCACATAGGCCATATCACAATTCCAACAGAAAGTCTATTTGGGCACACTGAACGATGAGCACTTTCCCATCATTTTTGTTACACTCCTTTCCAGAGATAAGCCCATCTTGTCAACTAAGGAGCTTCCCGATATGTCAACTAATGAAACAATCTGCAATGTGGCGAAATAAATGAAGCCCCACCGAACTAATCTTACGGACTCTTTCGTAAAAAAAGACTAGAGTGAAACATATTCAACCTTACGACTAATATTGACTTTGGTAACTTTGTTGAACTGTCCACAAATCCTGTAACTTACTATTTATATTCGTTCGGTATAAACTTTACATTGACGTTTGACAGTTAACAAGCCTTCGAGAGACCCTTTCCTCGATTAATGTTATCCATGAACTAAGGTCGCGATAGAAGAGTGTATGAATTAGGTTGAGTATGCTCTATGGAATCCCCACTATTGTAGATCTACAGAACTGAATTGAACTGAACAGACAATCTGAATTGAACTCACTCCATCATGTGTAAGTAAACTTTTAACAGCGCCAACAACAGCTTGGTGATCGATACCGAGATCCTTTGATATTTGTAATGTATTCAATTCCTGAAAGATGTAGCACAGCTTCCAGTTAATCTAATATCGGGCGAGAACTAGGCTACATTTAGACTAGCTAAGCTGATGAGAAGAAAGTTAGCTCACATTGCCGTTATCACTGAGACTGCTTAGAACGAACTGGGTCGCCTTCTCTACTTCATCCACCCCTGCCGTCATATTGGCCAAGCGATTTCTGAAACAGTTATGCAAGAAACACACGTATTGGTGGCTGTATTAAACAGCAATTCCATATGACCAAAAAGGAAAAGCATTAGTGATTTATGAAAAAAAAAGATGAATTGAAAGGCTTCGGGTACAGGCAATACGGATGTCACGTAAAATGTAAACGCAGTTGTGTGTATGCAGACAATACACGACTACCGTAAAGTTAAACCCCACTGGCGCTGCTCCGTCCACGCGGCAATCTGATCTCTCTTCTGTGACGGTGGGACAGGTGTGTGTCCACTGCCACTTTTGCTAGTCGACTGCTGCTGTCATATCCTGCGGTATTGGCTTGTCCAGATTTACAAAACCAGGATTTTGTGCTTGAGGAAGAGCGACGAACCAGTTAAGGTGTTCTCTTTTACTTCATCCACGATGCGGTTTAATCCTGTATGACGTCGGTTAGGCACGATGCTTGACATTTTCATTGAATATTCCCAACCAAAGATTAGCTGGGGTTGAGAACGTGAAAGTTACAGCTACAGCGAGCGAGCGCACTCAGTGGAAGATGGGATCGCTATGTCCTTCTTGCATCAACACCTCTTGATATTATACTAAGAAATTATCCTTGGAACATCGACGAGTAAGAACCTTCAAAAGGAATGAAATGCTAAAGAAACGTTTATCACCTGTATCACCTTTCGTCCCGTTGATCATCGAAATCCTCGAGCGGGCGCCA